AATTCGATAAAAATTGCCAGACGGTAAGAAAACTGCCGTTTTCTTCGACTTCATTTTTTTTACCAGCGCCTGATTTCACCACGATATACATTATATATCCATTATATTATATTGATATAATCAATTTGCTCTATATAAGACGATAAGAGCCACACTGTGCAAAATAGTGCTGGCAACAAGGGCCTGGCATGAAGAGGTCAGGCATATTTCGAGAAAAGTCTTCAATAAGATAACTTTATTTTTGTCTTTTTATATTATGATTTGCTTCCCTGTGACCAATTAAAATAGAGAAAGAGTTTGCTTAGTTTTGTTGCTGGAGGTGAAGTTGTTTTCAGTATTGCACCCTGTCCCTCATTGCTGCGCTGAATACGTTAGCATTAACATCAATAAATGATTATGTAACTACCGTAACCGTAATGATGAGGGTAAGAATAATATATAATAATAACAATAATAATCCTCATGATAATGATGTTAATATTATAACAATGCTAACAATAATGGTAACAGTTATACAATTAACTGTTATAGTAATAATAACAATAAGGAAGTGTCTACGTTCTCTAACCGTAGAGAATATATACAAGCTGTCTACATTCTCTAACTTTCAGTGCTTCCAATTTCCCGCCATTGTTGTTAGTTTCCCCCAGACCTTATTTCTGCCGATCTGATGCCTGCCGCCTCATTGATATCCCCCTCCCCCATCCCCATGTTTCTGATTTCTGCCGATCTGATGCCTGCCGCCTCATTGATACCCCCCCTCCCCCATCCCCATGTTTCTGATTTCTGCCGATCCGATGCCTGCCGCCTCATTGATACCCCCCCTCCCCCATCCCCATGTTTCTCATTTCTCACTTTCTTTGTTGTAGAAAAACAAGATGTTTACATCTTGACCTATGTTTTGTTGCCTTTCCTGAAACAGAGGGGTAAATATTAAGCTTATTCTGCCTCTAGTCGTTGGACGTTCTGATAACCGAATGATCAGCGTGTCTGCGCTTGAAGTGATACCTTAGGTGATGCAATTACTTTATGAGTGTGTGTTCGAATCCCGGTCCGGGATTTTTTTCTTTCTTCTTTTCCTCCTCCCGACTGACCAACAATTTTCCCCATAATTATAATTTGTTGCTTTGTAATTTCTTATGTAGTGATGAAGCATTCATTCCCAAGACGAGCTTTTGTCTACTAAGTATAGGCCTACTTTTCCTTTTACCAATTTATGCCTGGTTAAAGTACAATTTCTGTAGGTCGAATTTTAAAATTTATTTTAGAATCACAGAGGCCAAATCTTAGCTTTTCAATTGCAAATTTTCTTTATCCGGAGCCTTCCTGCGGCCCCCAGACCCCTGCCAATTGTTCCTCCAGCCAATTATTATTCGTCCTGGTTGGGGGTCCGTGGGCAAATTGTTGGTCTGTAAGGGGAAGGAGAGAAAAAAAAACAACAACAAAAAACAACCAACAACAAAGCCTCTGGGGCCGGGATTCGATGCCACGCTTGGAAGCACTGAGCATTAGAGAACCTAGACAGCTTGTATACGTTCTCTATCGTTAGAGAACGTAGACACTACCTAATAATAATTCATACAAATATTAATACTAATATTGATAATAATAATGACAATAATAATAGTAGTAGTATTAATGATAATGATAATAATAAAAATGTAATAAAAATATAATAATAATAATAATAATAATAATAATAATAATAAGAATAATAATAATGGTAATAATAATAATAATAATAATAATAACAATAATAATAATAAAGATAATAACAATAATAACGATGATAATAATAATAGTAATAATAATAATAATAATAATGTTTTATTATTGTTAATTTAAAAGATACTACTACTGTTACTTCTACTACCACTACTACTAAAACTACTACTACCACTACTACTTCTACTACTACTACTACTACTACTACAACTACTATTAAAATAATAGTAATAATTATAATGATAATAATAATAACAATAATAATAATAATAATAATAATAATAATAATAATAATAATAATAATAATAATAATAATATATAAAAAAATAGTAATAGTAATAATAACAATTTTCATTATTATAATTGTAATAACAATAATAATAAAGATAATGATATAATGATAACAACAGTTGTAATCATTACAGAAGAAGCATTTCAAACACTTGCACGGTCAATTAGAAATGAGTTTGCAGTAAAAAAAAAAACCCACCCAATATTTGTAATAAAAACAATTTGGAGATCACACATAAGTCAAGTTTTCATGCAATCAACCTTGCTTGATAAGGTGAAAAGGTGAGTATAAAATTTCATATGGATAGGAATATATCTTACTTATCATAAGTAGTGACACCATTTGACCTCTTCCAATCAGTCTCCATGAAGATCAACCCATTTTTTTCCTCCTCTTTGTTTTAGATTTTACGCCCCTTGAAGAAAGGTGGGCGAAGAGAGTGCAGCTATAACGTCGGACGACTGGGGTAAAATTATAATCTTCTGTTGACTTTTTTAAAATGCTAAGTGTCCCTTTTGAGGCAGGAAATGATTCAAGATAGATAGAGACAGGTATAGCTATGCGGAGAATGAAGTAATTTTCTTTTAATTAATATGCAAGTTAAGCGATTTTACGGCGTTGGTAGTCTAGTGATCATAAGGTTACGGGTTTGGGGGTTCGAGCCTCAGACCCGACGTTGTGTCCTTGGAAATGGCACTTTACACGAATTTTCCTCACTTCACCCACTTGGAATGGGTACTCGGCTATTGAGAGCAACAGATCTTGTCAGTTTGTAAGTGTTTTTCGGCCTATTTATGGCAGCTTGCACTCTATGCCTCCCAGGAAGTTGAGATTGTTTCAGAACGATTTCGGGTGTGACGGAGTTATAATATAGATTGTGAAGAATAAAGAGCTTGCTGTTGAACGATGTAAATGGCAAATTACCCTCAGTATTAGTACCGGTACCGGTTCGGCTACCTCAACTTTGTGTGCTTTTTAAAAACTTTTGTACATTGGTCTATATTTTTTGATGAAACTGGTTTGTTCCTAAATGGGAAAAGTTGTCACAGTAACTTACTAAAAGCATTAAAATTTCATGATCTCTTGTTCTTTTATTTACTGAAGGAGAAATAAAACAGATTTATGCCTTGTAGTACAGGGGTATGAGGTTGAATGCACCACCCCTCTCCCCGTTTATTAATTTAGGGCCACTTGTCCACCCCACCCCCAACTTTTGTATTCCTACCCCTCCCTCCCCGTTTATTCGGTACCTTAGACTAAGATGTGGTTCCCCAGTTTTCCCTTGACTCTTTCAATCTACCTTTCGCGCATCCTACCCCTTTCTTCGTAGCCGGAGCTCTTGGTGTTATAGGCTCTCGAGGCTGGCTGACTAGATGACATTCATATCTGGAGGCTAATCCATTTTATTCTCAGTTTGGGGGCTCTCGTGGCCTAGAGGTTAAGGTGTTTGCCACTCATTCAAAGGTCCCGGGTGCGAATCCGTTCTTCTCTAAATTTGTCTTCTTTCAACTTTCACCCCCTTTCCTGCTCTCTAGCATTGTTCTGTCGTCTTCTTTCGTCTGCACTTACTGCCCCCACCCCACTCACCTCCTTTGCCCCTCCTCTGGGCGTAGGACTTTTCTGCAACCTTTTCACTGCTACTCCTTGGCTCCTTCTCCCTGCTGTCTTTCAGCCACATCCCTGATCTTCTGGTAGGAAAGATCGACACCCAGCCTTCTCGGACAAGGGCGAAAAATCTCGGAGATCCCGTGTGCAAGCTGTGCTCGTTAAAAATCCCTTGGCGGTCTAAAATCGATAAGAGTAGGCTTCGGCCGCCGTCAGGGCAAAATTCAAAATTTCATACCACCTTAAAATGTTTGATGTGTCCCGCGCGCTCATATGACCTTAAGCAGTTGCGAGAGCCGTGAAACACTTGCAAAATATTCTCTGTTTTTCTATGAAATACAGGTAGGACTCAGTGCCAACAACTGAATTACATCCCGTCTTCCTGAATGTGTGTGTTAAGTCCATGAACGTTGGCTTCCGATTTTGGCATTTCCGCACCCCTTCCCCACACCCCTCGAAAATGGCATGTTTTTTAGATTTGCCTTCCCCGCACTAAACAAAACTGTACCACTGATCTGCCTGCTTTTCACTTTATACATATTCGCCACGCACAGCAAAAAGTTGGTTGAAAATAATTGATGGCTTTTTTCCCTTTGCACGAAATCTGCCTTTGACCAATAATAATTCCTGAGGAGGGTTGCCAGGTTTTTTAAAATAACATGATAGACACGTACTAGAAATTGATGCCAATTGACACTTTTGCAACACAAATCAATCTACCTTGTTGTTTGAACACATTTTGCAGATTTCAAGTAAAGTGAAGACAATTTTCGCTAAAAAGTTCGGCCGTCCCTCGTACCAATGTAGTCCAACATTTTTTTCATTTTTGAGATGTTTTCTAAAACAAATGTTTAGTTTCAATTCAAGAAAAAATAAGGTTACTTAGTGGTCTTTTGTCTGTCATGATATCTTAAAATTGTTCAGGAGACTGCGGTCATGGTAGTATCTCTTTGAGTAAGCAAATCGAAGCAAATGAAACAGCCAACTCCTCTGAAAAGGTTTTATCAGTAGGTCATCAAAGTTACCATCTCAGTCAATATTTGTAATTTTGCTGTATTCAAGTTCCCTCACTTTCTGTCACACACACACACATACGCACGGACGCTCCCTCTCTCTCTTTCTTCCTTCCTCTCTCTCCCTCCCCCTCTCACTATACCCTCGTCCCCACCACCCCCCCACCTCTCTCTCTCTCACTTTCTCTCGCACTTGTGAACTCACTCACACTCTCACTTAAACTCACTCTAACGTAAGCACGTACACATACACCTACACACATATACTCACTCTAATGCGTACTCACAATCATATATTATCTTATTTATCAACATCAATGAAAACAGCTCTGTGAAATTCTTGTTATTCACGAAAGTTGTAAATACGTACATTTTAAAACCGTTTTTTAATGAAAACAATGGATAACGCGATGAACATGAAATCAATAAACATTACTTGTACGCATTTTGAAGTTTGTCAGTAAGATAGAAAATATCTTGAAAATTGATAGAAAGAAGCGAAAACAGTAGTTAAAAGTCAAGTAATGGAATTAATAATGTAAAATTAAAGTGTACGGTTGTCTGTAGTACATGAATAGCATCTGGTGCCGAATCCACACTAGATCAGATAGTCGTGCTTGACTTGAGAAAACCGTGCGGAAATGATCTCTGATAAGGCTCCTTTCACCTATTGCACGACAAGTTGCTTTGAGCGGCGTCGCTCTCAGAGTGGCGTCTGTTTCCGCGAGAGCAACGTGTTGCAACCAAACAACTTATTTTTAGAAGAATCCTCCTCCTTTTGCCCTGTAGGAATTACAGTGCGGATCACACCCCTCCCCCTCCGTAGTTACACCTTTCGTCACTCTCAGAAACGGCCTGTCCAGGTTGCCTCAGAAAATATCAGACGTTAAACTCATAATAATCTGTCACAAGCACATTAGAACTGAGGGTTGTTTTTGGTCACAGTAATTTCCTATCAAGATGAGTGACTATGGCTTCCACAAGAATACCATAGAATTCTCTCTGCACTGGTAGAGACGAAATAATTCCAGTTTCAGATTGTATTAATGGCGCTGATACAAACACAGGGCCACGCCAATGTATCATAAGATGCACCTCCACCTTTACTCTTATCTTGCATTTTAAGATAAACAAGAATAAAATAAGCATCCCGTTCTTTGTGGATTTTCGGGGCTTGAGTGCCGAAATCTACAAAGTTACTCATAATAATAACCCTCTGTTTCCTTTGCATATGGGATCTGCCATCAGAGATGCAAGATCGTGTCTTTGTTTTCGTGTGACCAATGAAATCCTATTTGACAGTATGCACAGTATTCTCTAAAAATAGTAAATGGCGTCACAATTCCTGCAATCATCATTTTCCTCTTCTTATCGTTTTCGTCCTCCTCATCTTCTTCCGCAATTCCTCCTCTTCTTGATTATTACCATCTTTATTATCGTCATCATCCCTGTCCTAATCAATGGCATCTTCAGCAGCGGCAAAAGAATATTCTACTTCTTCTTCTTCTTCTTCTTCTTCTTCTTCTTCTTCTTCTTCTTCTTCTTCTTCGATGAACGTAAAAGTCAGAAAAAATGCTATAGTTTCCCCGCCTTCGCTGTCTTCGCCCCGACCCTGTCTCCAGTGACAATCTTTGTCTCATTACATGAACCGACAGGAGCACCTCCCACCACACTTCTCGTACCCTTCTTCTATCTCTGGGGTTTTTGTCATTGGTCAATGTATATGTTTAACACCCTTCTCAACACTGTACGTTTATTGGGAGGGAATCCGAACTAGGGTCATCCACTCCGTAGTCTAGCATGATACCAACTGAGCTAACAGTGAGCGCCATTGTTCCTCTGTGTCTGTCACCTCCGACAAAGAGCAGTGCATACTGTGCATACACGTCGCCGTCAGGATACAAAGGGTCTGATCTTTGTGTTTCTCACGTGCTTCCTTCTGGACGCCATCTCCATCAACATGTACACTGAGATGAGAGCGATAACTGCGAAGATAGCAACTGACAGTGAAACAACGACCGCTATCATGGGTCGTGTGGTGTCCTCATCGTCCTCTTCCCACATGATATCGCCTCCTCCTCCTCCACTATTCATTCTTACATTCGCCACTGCCTCCCCGGCTACGGATAAGTCCGTGTTCTCCGAGGCACCATTGCTCTGGGAAATGGAAGATGTGGCATCTACTACGAACTCGCAAGAGCATGCGTCCACAGTGCCAGGTCCGCTTTGAAAGGGCTGAAGCGAATCGGGCTGGAAAGCGTCGGCGTCTTTGAAACCAGGTTCAGAACTCGAACCTTTTGAGTTGAAATACGCATGACAGTCTCTGAAGAGACTAGTGTAAGAGTCGGGCTCACAGTACTGGTAAATGTCCACCAGCCTTGTGCCTGCGGGAAGGTAGTTCAAATTCTCAACATCATGTCGAAATACCATAAATGAATTATTTGTAGTAACAATGACGTCATCCGCGTATTTGAAGCCCGGCGCCCGCGATATAGAGGTGCTAACGTCAAAGAGCTCACCGACTAAGAGAGGATATAAAGACGGTGGGCTATTGCTAATTGTACTGTTCCGGAGAGAACCGAAGCTATCTGGACTGACGTCACGCTGAAAGACGGACGGGCATGCGCAGGAGCAGCCGTCGCGTGTTTTATTTCCGTGGCATGTAAAGTAGTGCTCTACGCTTGGCAAGTAGAAACCATTGTAGGCGCACGTTTGTTGGGAGGTGGCGCTTCCGCTTCCGCTGTCGGAGGCTGTGAGGGAGCCGTTGCTGCAGATGGCCACTGTGACGTAGACGATAACGGACTGGGTAGAGGAGAGCCAGGCAGAGGAGGTGCGAGTGACGTCGGTGGCTTTGTGACCCTGGGAGCCCACTTTGATCTCTAGAGAACTTGTGTCAGTTGTGACGTCAACACTTGTGTTTTCTTTGCCTGAAAAAAACAACAACCAAACTATTTGTCAACAGGCTAGACGGTTACACAGGGAAGTTGGGTCATTACTACTTAGCCGTTTTGATGAGGAGGAGCAAGGAGTAGGAGCAGGAGCGGGTGGGGAGGAGGAAAAGGAGGAGGACAGGAGGAGAAAAAAAGAGGAAGAGGAGAAGGAGGTAAACGAGAAGGAGGGGGTGGATGAGGAGGAGAAGGAGGAAGAAAAAAAGAGGAAGAGGAGGAGGAAGTGGACGAAGAGGAGAAAGAAGAATAAGAGGACCCAGAGGAAGAGGTAGAGGAGGAGGAGGAGGAAGAAGAGGAGGAGGAGGGGGAGGAGGAGGAGGAGGATTAGGAGCAGAAGGAGGAAAAGGCAGGGAACAACAAAGAATTAGAAGAAGAATTAAAAGAAAGAGTAGAAGAAGAGTTCATCACCTTATAGCACCGAAAAACCATCCAAGAGGTAAAGCTCTAGGGTTTGTCTTCCACCACCAGCAACAACAATTTTAAGACATGGCGTAAACTGCCAAGCAGAGCATTACAATTTTACAAAATTGATCATCACACTTATAGAAAAGACTTCTTAAGTTAGCGTCCAAATTGCGCAGTTAATTTTGCTATTTCTTATCTATTTTTCTGGTGGTCCCATTTTCAAAACATTGCTTATTGAATGTTTCACACAATGCCCAGCCGCCGGGAAACACAAAACAATGTCTCCTTAACCAGATATCAAGGGGCACGGCACAGCTCTACCTGTTGGCTTTCCTTGCTTACTTTATGAGGGAATAATGATCCGAGGGAAGATAATATAGAGGTTTGCCCTGCCCCCCGCCACACCCCCCCCAAAAATATAATGAATGTGTGTGTGTTTGTGTGTGTGTATGTGTGTGTGTGTGTGTGTGTGTGTGTGTGTGTGTGTGTGTGTGTGTGTACGTGTGTGTGTACGTGTGTATACATATTTATATACATATACATACTATATATACATATATATTTATATGTGTGTATGTGTGTGTGTGTGTGTGTGTGTGTGTGTGTTTGTGTGTGTGTGTGTGTGTGTGTGTGTGTGTGTGTGTGTACGCACGCGCACGTTATTTTGAGAGTGAAAACGAGAGGCTTCAGGAGGATTTTTTTACAACACGACACTGTCACTATGATTTGATGGCTTGCTGGAACAGCACCACTTAATAATAATAATAATAATAGATAGCATTTGTATTGCTTGTTTTCGTTGTAAATGAAAATCATGATAGGAAATAGGTTAGCTTTAAGTAAACAACAGGACGTAAAAAAAAACAATGAAAAAACCCCACAAAAAACAACAACAAGGACACGCCCCCCCCCCCCCCCCCCTTCCAAAACTTCAGCAAAGAACAACCGAAAAAAAGAAGAAAAGAAACCCGACCAAACCTACACTAAATAAACCAATTTAATACCCCCCCCTGAAAAACACAACAACTAAAAATAAGGGAACGAAAACACCCCACCTGATACAACAAAAAGCATGAAGGGTGCTTTCCTACAGGGGAAGTAGGCCCACATGACTTTTCAACCCACACGATGTTGACATTTTAGTATCGTAAAGGTCACCAATAATCACCGCGAGTGGGTGCGTCTCATCGAGACACGAAAGCCTTCATCATCGCCCACAGTAATGTATGATTGCGAAAACAGGGTTCATTAAAAATAACTCTACCTTGATCTCATACAGTTCGTTTACTGTACAATTCACTTTTCATGCTACGTCAAATGGTCCCTCGTTCTTTGGGGGGGGGGGGGGGGGGGGGCAGACCATCCTCCCTTATTTTCTCCCCACCTCTCACTCCTCACCATCTCCATCCCTCCCACTTCTTTTCCAACGTCTCTTTCGTTTTTTCTCTAATCATTTCCTCTTCCTCTCAGCATTTTCTACCTCATTCAGTGTTTAATATATACAATGTTTCAGATACCCACACATGTTCATGTCAACTTCTATTACAATATCTTGCTGATACTTTCTGAATAAAAGATGATTTCCTTACATCTCCTCCCTCTACATCTTCAAGTCCCATACAATACATCTCACTATAATAGACTTGTATCATAAAGTGTGTTCCATAAAGGGATTAGACAGGTTTCGGAACACGCAGGACATCGAAGACTCAAGTCGTTTGGTCATCTGATGATTGTCACCAAATCAATCAGCCGCACGAGTTTAGAACTCAAAAGAGTCAGGATGAAAGGAAAGGGACAGAACGCGCAAAACTTGGCTATATGACATTTAAGGCGTCTATCAAAAGAATAGCATATTAACAACAGAAGACACCGACCTAGCCCTTGACTGAATATAGCATCTCCCCCCAATATCTAACGATCTACCAGAGGAAGGATAAAATAAAGTTAGTAAACTATAATAGACAAGGAGGAACATGTGAGTACATTACAACTATAACCTGACGGTTATTAGATGACACCTCATCTTCCCTTTACTCCCAAATTCATATTTTAAAAAACCGCTTGTAGAATTGCTATTTTAATTTCCCAAGTTACCTGTACGCGCAATATGTTAAAGAGACAAGCGACACCTGCGTCTGTGCTGCAACAGGTAAGGACTTCGCTGTTGCTCCCAAAGACGTGAGCTCGGTTCCGAAGAGGGGATAATGTATTTTTTCTTCAAATACAAGTATCTCCATTTGTCTGCAGGGAGAGTATCCCAATAAGTAGAGATTGATCCCGACAGGCAAATTCGAAGCAGGCCGCCTTGTTGACCTTCTAAATCGTGTCGATTGGGACTTAAACATATAATACAGCAACCCGTGCTTACAGCATTGTTTTCCTTTGATTTTCCACTCTTTTCACCCCCCCCCCT